GTAAGGCTTAAGGTAACAAACATTGCATTAAACATCTACTATGCTTGTTTCCGATATTATCCTATATAAAATTCAAAATAACCCTACGAGATAGGTATATTATGATGTATCTGAGATTACTTGCTCAAATAGAGATATATAATATATAGATAGTATATGACGAACCAAGACTGAATTTTGGACTGATTCCACAACCATGGTACTATACTAGTTAGGTAATATTTTTCCCATTTTTAAACTCAGTATATAAAAAGTTCTTTATAGCTTAGTCATAGAGTACAAGTTGAGCATTTATAAAGCCAAAACCTAATTTTTTAGATAAGATAGAAAATTTTTGGACCAAGGCAAGGAAAGCCTCTTAAATGGAGGAGACTTCTTCCCCATGGGCATTAATGGATGAGGACTGAAAACAGGCAAGATGTAATCAAACAAACAGTAGTAAAGATCCCAATTACTGCATGCCAGGGAAACCAATATGTGAAGAACACTAATAAATAGTGCTTTATCAATTAGTTAAATCCCAGAATAATGTTTTCCTTATTTCATTAACCATAGCACTTGGAAAGATTATGTACTGTAATGGTTCAACAGGCTTATTTTAGCTTACGTGCTCCCTCTCCACCACACATACCCACACACACACCTTTGTCTTGCATTCTAAATTCTGCCCTTTGTTTTTGTAAGTGAACTTTTGTGAGCAGGGAAATGATACTGGTTCCTAGTCAAAAGCAATTGTGAAGTGTCTCAAAAGAAGATAAAACAACAAGCATTTATAGTTCTTCTAATCTCTCTTGTTCTTCGGCTGTATATAATCTGTCTTCTCAATACCTCCCTTTCTGGTTCTCTTCATTCCTTCCTGTGGATTTTAGTTACTATTTGGTGTCATTTGCTTACTCCAATACAACTTTGTTTCTTCCTGCCTCTTTTGTGCTGATATTGTCAAACATATTACATTTCAATGTTATAGGCTCAACGATATGATTATATACATATTGTTTGATGCAATTGCTCTTTAAATCAATCAAGAGAAGATATATGCAATTGTACTATCTTTTGTAATTATCTGTATAATTACTTTTACCAGTGCTCTGTTTTTTTGGTGTGGATTCAAAGTACTATCTGGTGTCAGTTCATCTGGTGTCTTTCATGCTCATAACTTCCTAGGATATTTCTTGTAAGACAAGTCTGCTGGCAAAAATTCTCAGTTTTTGTTTCTCGGGGAATGTGTTTCACCTTCATTTTTGAAAGATAGTTTTGCTGTATATAAGATTGTTCATTGACAGGTTTTCACTTTCAGTACTTTGAATGTGTTGCCCTATTGTCTTCTGTCCTCCAATATTTCTGATGAGAAGTCAACTCTTAATCTTAATGGGGTTCCCTTGCATGTGATGAGTCGTTTTTCCCTTGCTGCTTTCAAGATCTTCTCTTTCTCTTTAAACATTTTGAATATGATGCGTCTGGATGTGGACATCGTTGTGTTTAACCTACTTGGATTTCATTAAATTTCTTGGATGTGTAGCTTAATGCTTTTCATTAAATTAGAAAAATTTTCAGCCATTATATTTTAGAATACTTTTTCTGTCCTCTTCTCTCTCCCCAACTGATATTCCCATTATTTGTATGTTGGTATGCTTAATCATATCCCACAATTCTCTGAGGCTCTGTTCATTTTTTTTCCATTCTTTTTTCCTCTCTGTTCTTCAGATTGCATAACCTCTACTGATCTATCTTCAAATTCACTGATTTTTATCTTCTGCCAGCTCAAATAATTTTTATTTGGGTTATTGTACTTTTCAACTCCAGAATTTCCATTTATTTAAAAAAACCCAATTTCTCTTAACTAATATTCTCTATTTGATGAGACAGTGTCATCATACTTTTCTTTCATTCTTTACGCGTGGTTTCCTTCAGTTCTTTGAATATATTTATAATAGCTGCTTTGAAGTCTTTGACTGCTAAGTACATCATCTGGGCCCTGTCAAAGGCATTTTCTATTGCTTGCTCCCCCCGCCTCCCTATTTATGGGTCATCCTTGCCTGTTTCTTTCCATGTCTCAAAATTTTTTGTTGATAACTGGACACTTCAGATACATTTTAGCAACACTAGATTACTGATCCCCCACCCCCACCCTGGGGGTGGTTGCTGTTACTGTTTGCTTGATTATTTGTTTAGTGACTTGGCTGAACTAATTCTGCAAAGTCTCTTCCTCTGTAGTGTGCAGACTCAGATGTTCCTTCTCATATTTTTTCCCCTTGTTTTCATCTTTTAGCCTCATTACCTAGGGGTTGCCCCTGGGTTAGTATAAGCCATTTATTGGTTAAAGGTTGTGCTTAGGCCCCCTTAGCCAGTCAATTTTTAGTCTCTACCATTGGCTGTATCTGTAGCTTAGAGACTGCTTTCACAGTTTAGGGATTTTATTTGTTTGCCCCACATTCAGTCAGAGACTAGTAGCTTGGAGGTTCCCACTCTGACTGCTCCTGGGAGGGCACAGCCCTGAGCCAGTATACAGTTTTCCAGACTGTTAGGGATGATTGTGATATTACTTTTGAGCCTTGCTTCTTAGGAGTACCCCTGGATCAGAGTAGCTTATTGTTCAATCAGTGTTTGATCACAGTTTGTATAGAAGCCCCTTGTTCCTGGGAGATTTCTGCCCTGTGTTGATGGGGCTGTGTGCAGCTTGAGGAATGTTTTCAGGTCTGCCCCACATCCTGCTCTGATTGCTCCTGAGTGGGTGCAGCCTAGCACATGCACACTGCCGTCCTGATCCTCACAGTTGACTATGATCCCAGGAGGGCTCTTCTTGGCTGACTCTTTCCCTGGTTCTTTTTTTAAAACTTCTGGCTGCTATGTTGTTGTATTATGGAGCTACCATCCTCCTTTTAATTGCTCTTTACCAAAATCTGTATTGTTTTCACCACCTTAGGCATGGAGTTCTCCACTCCTTCTTCCAAATAAAGTCAGTCCTCTCAGGCAGATCTATGGAGCTCTTTACCCCTTATCATCTGCCTTCCACCCCTGGGCAGAACACCTGCACCACTGCACTGGAGTTGGGGGCTGGGACCCTCTTTTTCCCAGAGTGACAACCCTGCTCTACAAATAGGCACTGGCAGTGGAGAGCAGCTCTCAGTCTGGGCTTGCCTCTTGTGTGGAACCTCTATCCTATGGTGAAAACCGACAGGGTAATTGGGCTGCAGTGTTCTCAGTTTGCTGTGCCTAGAGTAAGGGCTGGGTAGGGGAAGGGAAACTTAGTCCTCTCGGTCATGCCTACCTGGAAGAGTTCCTGTAACATAAGGCTGGAAGTGGGGAAAGGGATGAGAAACAACGGTGGCCCACCCCTCCAGGGTGAAACTGTAGCTCTAGACTGGGAGTTAGGGGGAAAGGGAACTCCATCTTCCTGGCTACACATGCTGGGGTTGGAGCTTCTGTAACACACCTGTGAGGGGGAGGTAATAGATTGGGTTGTGGCTCAGATGCCACAAATACCCACTGTTCTTACTGATATTTAGTAGGTTTTCTTCAATGAAAGTTTCTCAATTTGCTGTAGGCCCTTAGGATGATTCCCAAAGACTTTAAATGATTGTATTGTTTTCAAATAATTTGCACCAGTTAAACTCTTGTTTTGCTGTGGGAAAAGTCCTCTGAGTTCCTTACTTCATTGTTCTAGAAGTCCTACCTTGCTTATTTCTGGACATTAATTATTTTTGGTGGTGAATTGAGAGACAGTTCCTATAAGGGTGAACCATCCTGGATGGGCAAGCTAGTTTTGACAGCTTGCTTTCTGTAGACAGAAACAAGACAGCAAGTTTTCTTTTTTTTTTTTTAAAGATTTTATTTATTTTAATCCCCCCCCCCCGCAAAGCCCCAGTAGATAGTTGTATGTCATAGCTGCACATCCTTCTAGTTGATGTACGTGGGACGCGGCCTCAGCATGGCCGGAGAAGCGGTGCGTCGGGGCGCGCCCGGGATCCGAACCCGGGCCACCAGCAGCGGAGTGCGCGCACTTAACCGCTAAGCCACAGGGCCAGCCCAAGACAGCTAGTTTTCTGCAATCAGTTTTGGGACCTTAAGCTTTTGAAGGGTGTTTATTATCTTTCACATGTCCTGTGATGGGCAAATTCTGGGCATAAAAGTTCAACTTCCGAGGATCCATTTAATCAGATGGTTCTTCTACTAAAACTTAAAAAAAAGTCTTTAAAAATTTACTTGTATTTAAAGTTTACATGAATAAAAAACAATGGATTTCTTTCATTCCTTTCTCATTTCCTCTCACACCTATCATTAAAGAGGCAATTTTCCTTCTTTGCTCAGCAGAGTATAGCAAGTGCTTTAGTTGGTAATTAACTCATTTTTTTATTAAGCCTAAGGAAACTTAACCAGAAATTCAAATCTCAGAATAGTCATTTTTTTGGTTTAGTTGCTTTCAATACATTAAATGTCACACCCAGATCTGTTTTTTAAAATAATCTTTAGCATAATAAAAATTTTTTTATGAGTATTTATAACCCTCTGGCAAAGTTCATCAAAGATGCAGAAATGTCAGGAGTAAATCATGAATGATCTGTGAGCATTGAAATTATCTTCTCCTTCCTACTCTCCACATTAAATCCCTGGCAACCCAGAAAGAAAAAAATAAACAAAGAAATAAACATACTAATACATATAAGAACAAATAAAACTACCTTAATCTATTATGTCTAGTCAATATAAAATTTATAATTATTTTGCTATAAAAACAATTTTACTTTTGATAAATTAAGGAAAAGCAATAGGATATACTGGAGTATATGAGGAAGCCATTTGGTTTAAAACTAATCTGGCCTGACCTTGTTTTTCCAAAAGGGCCTGACGTGGCCTGTTGAGCATGCATTGTACATCTGCTTTAAATATTTACTGTCCCAAAGACAAGAATGATGCCCTTAAAGATAGGGATGTAACTTCCCCCACATCGGCATTTCCTTAAGGATAAGCATCTCTCCTTAAAATAAGGATTGATTGCTGACCTGCTGCGCTCACCTTGTGACCACCCACCTTGTGACCACCAACCTTCTGTGTTCACCGAATTGCTGTGCCAGCAAGGCAATCTCATGACTATTGTAAAAGGGACATTCTAATCATATGTGATGCATGCTTTTTGATGGTATATAACCACTCTGTACCCCCCACTTCTTTGGAGTGCTCCATTCCTTTGTGAAAGGACTCTCCTGGGCTATATGGTCCTCAGGGTTGGCTCATAATAAACTCACCCCAATTTTTTTTTTTTTTTTTTTTTTTTTTGCTGAGGAAGATTTGCCTTGAGCTAACATCTGTGGCCAATCTTCCTCTATTTTGCACGTGAGCCACCACCACAGCATGGCCATTGATGAGTGGTGTAGGTCTGCACTGGGAACCAAACCTGAGCCACCGAAGCCAAGCGCTGAACTTAACCACTAGGCCACCAGCGCTGGCCCTAAAATCACCCCAATTTTGATTTGTAGATTGATTACAGATTATTTGCATCAACACTTTATAGAACAAATTCTATTCAACAAACATTTTCCTGGTGCCTATCATGTATTAGATAAATAAGACTATACCCTTAACTTCAAGAAGCTAACAATTTAGTAAGGAGGTTAACATTTATGTAAAAATAAGTATTTTTTAGGGCAAAATATGATGTGTTTAAGAGTTGCAAAATGCTTGGCATTTAGTTCAAAAAAGGTCAATTTGGTCAAAAAATTAAATAAGGAAAGTTGACAAAAAACAGCCACCACCATTCATGCAATGCTTTCAAATATTTAGTTAGCTGATGTTTTTAAAAAAATGATATGGTATGTTTAACTGCTTTTGTCTTGTTATATAATAGAATAGATGTTAATACCACTAATGAACTACAAACTGATTCTGTTGTTATCAAAAACATCTTTACTTCAGTATTTAGTCACCTGCAAAGACTCATTTTTTGCTTTTTATTCGTCTTCATTTCAGAGGCTGGCCCTATGTAGAGATGCTCTGATATATGAGACTTAAAAAATAACAACTAAATAATGTTTAAATGAAGTTTTAAATGGATTTCACAAAACATTTATTAATTTAAAAACCCTAACATTTATTGAATATTTATTATGCGCTGGGCAGTGATTTAAGTACTTTGATCTTCAAAACATAAAGAAAACTGAGGCAGAGAGACAATAGAAGTTAGTCAAGATCACCTAGTACCTGGTGGAGTGACGGCACATTCAGGCATTCTGCTCTAGAGCCCATGTTCTAAAGCCCTGCACTACATGCTTGCTTAGAAATATAAGCTCAATCTTGCAATCGTTCACATTCTATTTGTTTTAAATCATTTTTTAATAACAGTTCAAAGTTACACGTGTCTTGATTCATTTATATTCAGCAAAAATAATAAATCATTTAAAAATGGTTTTGTGGTGTTACCTTTGGCTCACTGCACAGTATAACACCTGGTCTCAAGTGTGATACTTACTCTTTGACTACGATTTAAAATTGTTCTCTTTTTTTTTTTTTTTTTTTTAGCTTATTTGTTTATTGCAGTAACATTGGTTTATAACATTGCAAAAATTTCAGGTGTACATCATTGTACTTCTATTTCTGCATGGACTACATCATGTTCACCACCAAAATACTAATTACAACCCATCACCACACACATGTACCGAATTATCCCTTTCACCCTCCACCCTCCCCCCTTCCCCTCTGGTAACCACCAATCCAATCTCTGTCCCTATGTGTTTGTTTATTGTTGTTATTATCTACTACTTAATGAAGGAAATCATACGGTATTTGGCCTTCTCCCTCTGACTTATTTCACTTTGCATTATACCCTCAATGTCCAATTGTTCTCTTTTTAAAGATAAAAACCAAACCAACCTCTAATTCTTAATCCCACCATTGCCTCCCAGAAGAAAAGCAAAGCAACATAAACTGGCATAAAGACTAAGCGCATAGAACACTTCAGATGCAGATTTTTTTGTTTGTTTCATTTTTATAACTATATCCAATCGAAAAATGTATCTTATTTGCACAGAAAATAATCACCTCCCCCACCCCGAAATTTTCTTGCCTCAGTAGTATGAACAATGAACTTCCAACACAGTAGAAAGTGCTCCAGTGATCACAGAAAGGCTGCCTTTATTTATAACATAACTTTTGATTGAATATAATTATAGTGAGACAAAAATGGAGAAGGATGAACAATGACAGAAACAAAGGGGTCAGTTTCAGAGAGATTTTTGGATTGAAAAATCTTTCCTCCCAAAACATTGGAATTTTGTTTCACTCAATCCACTCCACCATCCCACTCGACCTCTCAAAAGACCTTTTTTAAAACAGATACTGTTCCTTTCCTTTAAAAGGGCAGGAGTCTCACATTTGCAAAACACCAACAAGACATAATATCATAGTGTGATAAACAAATACATGAAAATGGATATTAAGAAAGAAGTAGTTACAAGTTTTAAAAGCCTCTTGACTAGTTACACATTTACCCCTTTTGGCTTTTATTTTCTCCTTGTAGTTCAGAACCCACAGTCTACCATTTCAACTTCGAATTCATAGCCACATGTTCTCCCCAGTCCCTGACTTTCAACAGCCTCCGATTTCCCTGCTTCTTCTTCTAGGCTGCTACATGTTGTGGTAAAAATTGTGCTCAGATGCCTCATTATAAAATCATGTTGTCTCAGTGTTCTTGGTATTCCTTCTATACTCTCAAATCCCTGCAGTCACCTCTCAATAACTGGTCATCCAATTCCTCATACTTATTGTTCCAAATCTTTCCCACTTTTCTATCTTCTCCTTCCTAGAGGTGTTACTTTTTCTTTTTAAGGTTAACTTATATTTATAGACCAAATGCTCCCATCCATACATAAATCCAAGTACAAAAATGGATTTTGTACTGTAATACAACTTTACATTCCTAAAGAAAAGAAACAAAATAGAGATCTGGATTGGAACTGGAGCTCTACTATATTAGGCAAGTCACACTTCCTTTTATGACAAACTCAAGAAAGGCAAAGACATGACAAAATCAGAAGCACTGGTCAGAATCTGAAGCACAAACTAGATGAGGACTGATTCTTACAAGCACTGGTCTATCACTGATGGCTGCTGTTCTGGTTGCTTGACCATAATCTATTGAAAGAATCAACAACATTTATGACTTGGTAAATACTTATCTTTTACATTAAATTTTAGAATAAATTTTTAAGTTTGTAACTAGGCAAAGGACGTATAGCTTTATGAAAGCTTAAAAATTCTACTTGTTATGCTATTATATATCTTTTCCATATTATGTTTGAAGAGTTCAGGACAAACATGGCTGGTATGTCTAACAGAACTATGCAAATACATAAGCCATCCTTGTTAGAATTAAGGTGTCTTTAAAGTTAACTTTTTATCATTGATTTCTTACTAAGGTCTATGATGAGATTTTTATCTCATAGCAAATTTAACAGTAGTTATGAATCTGACAACTTTTCAAAAAGCTATGAAAATGCCACTCATATAACAATGTTTGGGAGTTGTTTATTGTGTTCTGTACAATAACAGCTTGTTTGTATTATACACTGTACTTTTTGTCAAATGCAGTGACTTGGCTGATATTTTTCTTCACAGTTCTGAAATAACCACTGCAGTGCAATTCTTATGAAATGAAATGTCTATTAAGTTACCAGTCAACCATTTAGACTAAGTGGGGAAAAAGTTTAAATGCTTTTCATTATTATGGCACTAAAGAATCTATAGGAATCTAGTCTTGTAAATAAAGAAAAGTATATGGGTTTATGACATTTCTTGTGGAAGAAATTCTTTGAAAAACAATATATCTACATAAAGCCAACTTATTTTATAATGAAGTATATTAGTTTTAATTTTAGATGAATGGTGATATACTGAAAATGACTACAAGTATTCTGCTACTGTAGTAAAGTCTGTAGTTATGTTCTAAAGTTATGATCCTCTCCTCTCAGCATGTTTTGCACCTGGATTTCACATAAGATGTGTTGTGCCCTACTTGTAGCAAGCCTGCACAGACCTGACTGATTTGCCAGACTGACAGCTGCTAACTTTCAGGAAACCACACTCTGTTTCTTGGTGCATGTCACGTCCTCCCTGAGTACCACCAACCTTTGATTACTGAACTCCAACTCTCATAATTCACAATCGTTGACTCACAGAACAGTCTGGCTTGCAAAATAAACCCTTTAGTCAGTTTAGTCCAATTCAATAAATAATAATTGAACACCTACCACGAGCAAGGTAGGTGCTATGCGGGACACAAAACAAATAATCGGTGCTGCCTGCTATTAAGCTGCTTATGATATAAGAAAAGATACATACTCAAATCACCATATTAAAAGATTGCTGCACCCTCCCTTACTAATTAAAATGACCTGTACTTTTATAAAAGATTCATAGTCTTCTTCTTATCTTTCTGAGCATTACTTCTTAGCCCAGGAAACTCTTCAGGTTTCTAGACTTGTATGCTCAACTGCATATCCAACATGTCCACGTAGACGTCCCATAGGAACCTCAAACTCAACATGCCCTGTACCAAACTTAGAACCATCTGCCCTAAAATTGGTCTTCCTCCAGGGTCCCCCACCTCAGTGAATGGCACAACTCAGAAGAGCAAGAAGAGCCTGGAGGCACTCTGGGTGTCTTCCTGCCTCTGTCCTTCTTGGTCTCCTTTTGCTGGCTCCCTTCCCTCTGAGTGTGTGTTGGAACTCCTCTTCTCCTCTTATTCGACAGTCTCTTTTGATGGAGATTTCATGTACTGTTATGAGTTTAATGCTTATACGGTTTACGCTGAAGACTCTCATTTTTAAATCACACCTTGGCTAAGAGAAAATTATCAGGGAAATATTTTTAATCTCTTCAGAAAAAAAAATTCCTGGAGTTTTAATTTGATTTTCCCCCCATTTTTAAATGGAATTTCTCCCATATTTTCGTTTGCTTATTAGCCATTTGTTAATAAACTTATTAAACGCACATATTCCAGGTATTTGCTCCTCACAAAAATGGCATAAGGTGGGTGTTATTAGATTCTAGAGGTCAAGTAACTTCCCCAGAATCAGACAACAAGCCAGGATTTGAATGCAGGAGTCTTCTGACTGTAAATTCAGAGCTCTTTCCAATAAACTGCACTGCAGATTTCTAAATCCCTTAGTGCAAAGGAACTGAACCAGGTATTAAACAAGAAAGCAAAATATTTAAACAAATTCATTATAAGGTGTGATTATAGGATACTCCTTAAGAAATGCATTTTTTAAAAGATGAAACTTGCTAACTGAAGTAAGACCATAATTAATTTACTTTTCCTCTCATCTTTCTACAAGGGATTTGAATTTTCTTTTAGTAGGAACATATGAATAAAATGTAATTTAATATAGAGAACTGGAAAGGGGGATGCGTGAGAAAGAATTCAGAATCTAGATTGGGGAAAGATATGTTACCACAATTACTAAAACCGAGCCTCAAATTTGGCTCTACCCTCCTAGGGAGTCAAAGCAAAAGGAGGGACACAGCCAAGTAAGTAATTCTCACTTCCTTTAGGTCTCTGCTCAGACATCACCTCAGTGAGCTCTTCCATAACCACTTTATTTAAAATAGCAACACCACCCCATCCCCACACTCCCTATCCACCTTCCCTGCTTTTATCTTTTCTATAGCACTTATAACCTACTGATGTACCTGTGCATTTATTCATTGTCTCTTTCTCCCTACTACAATGTCAGATTAATGAGGGGAGAGATTTGGGCCTGTTTCTGGTTGTTTCTTTATATCCTGGGTGCCTGGAGCAGTGCCTGGAAAATAGTAGCAGCTCAATAAACTTTTAGAATGAATGAATGAAAAACTACCAAGAAAGTATATACCAGCCAGAAAAATAAGGCACAAATAATAAATATAGGAAACTGTAATCAGTTGTTAGAGCAATTGATGTTCAACATGATATAAATGGAGAAAGAAAGTATCTTCAGTATATGGCCAGGTTGTTAGAGCAACTGAAGTCTTAAAATAGTAGCCAAATACAGTGTCCAAAGACTGTCATTTACACTCCAAAGGGAAAATATTATCATCCAGAAATGGCAGAATCATTATACCCTTTTCATTACATTACTGTTATATAAACTTGTATACATACTGAATAATGAAGGAAGAGTTTGGTATTTTCTTTATTTTCTTCATATATTTATTCTCAAGTGTTTTATACCATGCATTTTTTTTCCA